GAACTACTCAACCGATCTTTTTACATAGTTCTTTGAGATATGATTTACAAGGTCTTGCCGCGGAGTATTTTTTGTTCAATTACAACTATTTAAAAAACAAAAAATGTCGATAAATTTTCACCAAAATTTGCATGTTTATGTAAAAACGTCTGCCAAAAATACAATTTTCACTTTATTTGTATTTTCTCCGCCTGAGTACCTAGTTAATGGTCTTAGTTTAAACGCATATTTTTTTCTTTTAACCCTTACTGATCCTGTCAAAAATTCTGCTGTCAACGCGGAAGCACCTTTTTTCCGAGGGACTGTCGAAAATGTCGTCGTCATGACCAAGTTTTGAATATTTTCCTTTTAAAATTCCACAAAATCTTATATATTTTTTTAGGGGATCAAGGCATTCTTTCACTAACCTAGACGAAACGCTAAGATACTTTAGTGATCTCAAAGCCGCTTGGCTGTCTGTGTATATTCCCTGTTGTGAGCACACTGCAACTGAGCCTAGTGCTGTTTCTGTGGGTTTTAATTTAGAACACGGATTCTGCGAAACCGCCATTTTTTCTGGGCTTAGGCTGCTCCTTATTTGTAACTGTATTAGCATTTCCAACGTTTGAGGAGAACATCTCCTCCTTCCTCCTCCGTTTTGGAAACAACCAGCATATATTATATTTAAAGAAATATTATAACACCTCAGTCGTTTTTTTAAGTAATACTCGATAACTTTTCAAGTTCGATATACATACATATCTCATCATTAAATTTAAAAATGTCAATAATGACGTCTAAAAGATTCGTTAAAATTATTTTTGCAAAATAAAAAAGTATTTCGTACTTATCACGATTCATTAAGCGCGAATCCTGAGCAAAGTCACATCAAACATTAGCAAGTACTTAACAAGTACATATATATGTATGTACATATTTTGAGTAGAAAAATTTGCAGCCACGTGTTAAAGATCACAGCTCGTTAGGTAAACACCAAACGTTTCAAGGTAAAAGGTGAGACGGCAATACATAAGCATATCGCTAAATAATACAAATACAAGTCTTAAGTAAACAAATAAACTTAAATGTCTCATAAAAGTGGAATACTTGGAAAAGTATGTAAATTTAATAGGCAAATATATTGCGCGATTAATGCGCAGATTCTCTTGTTGGAATTTGCGCGGTCCATATTGTACATACTATATATATGTATATACATGTATGTATGTATGGTATATATTCCGAAAAATATTGAGATATAAATAAACAAATCACTTATCATAGAAAGACAAGGTATAACAAAAATTGTAAAAACGCTTAGATATGTCCCGTACAGGTTAGGTTAGGTCATGGCTTAGTAACGATCTGGAGTGTGGGAGCAAAGTATGAAGATTTTCAAGTTTAGGTTAATGTTATGTAAGTTATAATAAAATTGGCATGTTCTTTAAAATCGACATCATGTATTTATTAAGTTAAGCTCGGGCAAATTTCGTGTTGTTCCTCGTAAACTTTAATCTCGGTTAATGGGTTTTCGATGCAATATGTTTTATGTACATACATAGATATGATAAGATTTTTGAGAACTTGATTCGAACATTAGCTAGAGAAATGAATGCCAAATTGGTTATATACATATGTATTAGCTGGAGCTGCTTTACCGTAAACGCACTGTTGTATAAGTGCATGTTATGCTATATAATATATGTATGTCATGTATTTATAGATATCTGTGTGAAAAATCCATTTTTCGAACGCGAAAAATGTTATAAATGTTCGATGCTAAAAACGTTTGCTGTGAAAACAGTGCCATCTGTCGGATGCAAAACTATTCCAACATTTGAGTTAATCCTACAATACATGCTCATAAAATCAATTCTAATACCCAATTATCTCTTACATTCTTTTACGTTCTTTAGTATTTCTCGTACTTGTAATTTTGCTATTTTCCATTCGTTGGAACATCCCTAATTGGAACAAAGAAAGCAGCTATAAGTAGAAAACCCGTTAATTTTGATTTTTCACACTTAAAAATAGCAATGAAGAGAATTAGAGACAGCAAAAAATTATTTTTACTTTTAAAATATCACCAAATGTATAGTATCCTTCGTATAACATACACTTTAATATATAACTTTAGCATTACTTGCACGTCTGGTACAAAAAATCCCGAAATGTGGATAATTTTTTCCGTCAATAGAGTTGATTTGTCTACGTGATGTGTTAATTTACACCCAATTTATGTGCGGTTAACAAATGTCCCATCAATCTACATACATATTGTATATCTATTTAATATTATATATATATAAGCACATATATATGTATACGTGCATATTGCATACCAAAGTGCAATTTCTTTATTGCAAAACTTTTCTGTACAATTATAGTTTTATTTATTGCTAATTAAAAACACATTTATCCTCAGAATTACATAACTTGCTAAAAATAAAATAAATACAAATTTGGTTGCGTCGTGATTAACATAGATATGTATATACAATGTATGTATCTATATATTATATATGTATCTACACATTATATATGTATACATACATTATTAGAAACTAAAAGCGCGATAAGCTTGGCGATTGCAAAATAAAATCTATTTTGAGATATGATATAAACTATCATTTGTTTTTCAAATGATTTTGTAAATGTATGTACGTATGAGTATGTTTAGTTAATATATTTTATTTGTTATTGTAGATTTATGATTGCTTTCAGAAATGATTGATTCTATTTTGTTACACACAGTGTAACATACATCTATATCTGGAATGTTAAGACGGGCACTGTTCCAAATTTTTGCTTTATAAAATTATATCACTTTTATATTTACTTTTAGCCACTTGTCATTTCTTTCTAATATTTGATATAATTAGATTTTGGTGATGTTATTAATTGATTATTAAAGACATTACGAGCAGAGGTTCAAAATAGACAAACGTAGAAAGGAAGAATCCTCGTAATATATCTGTATGCGTTTGTCGTACAATCGAAGGTCCCGTTTTTTTTCTCATCAAAAACTTTCCAACTGAGCGTCGAAGGACAGTTTTAGATATAAACCGATTCTTTAAACAAATTTATAAACCTAGACATTCTAGACACCAAATACACGTATACAACGTGAGGTCCATACTATCGTTAGAAGTATTTAAGCACGCTGCATATAAAAACCAAATAGAAAAGTAATTTGCTTACCCAATTGCTAATTAATGGACTTTGTGTTTATAAGTAGATATGCGCTACAAATTATGGAATGTTATTATTTTCGAACCGTTCAGTGAAAATATATTTCCAATAAAGCCTTGAAGATAATTTGCTGTTCAAAATTCCCTCCATAAATATTCCTCCTCTACTTCATTCAAATACAATTACACATGTAATGGCTTTGTAAGTCAATAATTTGCAGCGTAGCGGCCGCGCTTTGACTGCACTCTTCCAATTCTGGATTCGCCATGGATTTAATTGGAATATGTTCGCTTCGGAGAGGGCCGCAAACGCTCGCCTTTATCTCTTGCGATTGCAATGATTGCGAGTATAAAGCTGATTGTTTTCTTCGCTTTTGCAAGTGCTCTTTGCATTCCTTAATTAATTGCGAATTGTGTGGCCAATCATTGTTTGTGTATTATACCGTTACATATTTATTTTTCACCACTGCCCCGCCACAAATGGAGCACTTGACTGTTCATTGACTTCTCGCCATGTTTGCATTATTTATCAATTGTGTATATATTGGCAATTTATTTTCATTTTTCTCTGCTTTGTTAATGTTTCTGTTGTGCCGTTCAAGTGCGTTACACACTATTTACAACAAATTATTTAAGTGCACAATTAATTGCAATCGCTGCCATATAGTACGGCTAAGTAGTTGCAAATTGCGCGCCGCAGCTGCAGGCGGCGGCTGCTGCGATCACTTTACTTTTTCCATTATTTTTTTCGTGTTTTCTTTTTTCATTTCTTCATTAGACTTCTGCCAATTGTAGGCGAATTATAAACAATACAGCGTTGCAATTAGAAACAAGTAGCCGACTCCCATTCACTGTGCGCACGCATTGTTCAGCCTCCGTCGCGCTGCACCATCCCCCCGCGCGTTTCATGTAGATTATCTATTGATTTCTTATTTACCATTGGCTTTCATTGTACTAGCTCTTGCACTCTTTGAAGTTTCTGTTCATTATGTTAAGCCGCCAAAGCCAATAATTAGACTACTTGCAATTATGTTGTTGTTGTTGATGCAAAAAAAAATTACAATGAAAAATAAAGAAATATTATTCGGATTGTGGTGACGCGCTGTTGCTTTGAACATTGCGATTTTCCACAGTTTGTTGCATTACCAATCAGTGCGTGGCATGCACCTTCAACATTTGTAAACTGCGATTGTGTCCAATGGAACCGCTATTCCTTAAAAAAAAAAAATGATATGTGAGGTATATGTGAGAAAAATTCTAATTATAAATAACCATGAAAAAGTCTGTTTGGCAGTATATTAAGTGGTCTGAGGTTCACAACTAAAGCTTCTTACATATTTAAAAAAAATCACATTGTTATGCCAACGGTTTCCCCAAAAATGTAGTGATATTTTTTGCCTTAAAAACTTTCCATACGAAAAACATGTTTTAGGCGATTAAATGCACATGCAGCATTGAATATCTGATTGTGGACCACCAAATCCCCAAACAGTCTTAACGTCAAACTATCTTATATGTAGATCTTTCAGCTGTTCCTCTTTGACATTCTGTTCGCATGATGATGTTTAGATTTAACAGACGAGCGGCAGATTGCTAGAGGTTGGATTAACGTAGAAGCTCATTACCGAAAAATCAGGCCTTAAGTGCATGCTTTCATCAATTTGAGTATTTTAAGAATATGTAAACACACAAACAACACTTTCTTTAAAGTAGTACTTTTTACATAAAAAGTGCCAGTTGTCGAAATTCCGACAAAAGTATCTCAATTATTTTTGTTTTTAAATATTTGTATTTCAAACTAACCTTTTTCGTTTCCCTCTCTCTTTTCAGGTGAGTTGTCCCCAAACCACCAAAATCCACAATTCTCTACATTGCAATCCCGTAAGTTTCATTTCTCCTATTTTTATTTATTTATTATTTATTTCTTGTTTACTGAAAAAAAGCATAACCTCAACATAACATCAATAACCACGTACCATCTGAAATCCCTCACAAAAGCCTCACAGTTTTATATGAGCTTCTTCATTAAAATTTCACATCCCGTCTCGGCGTCAGGTAGTTTGCTATTACATCACCCCTTAATGGCCTGACTATAGTTAAATGGCCCTCCTTGCAGAAAACATATTTTTGCCTTTTGTTGCTTAAAACTTGTTATATTTATGCACTTACAAGCATATATATTAAGGCAAAAATTGCTGCACCCGCACATAAACATTGGACGCCTTAGATTCATCCATTGCCCGCTTTTCTCGATTTGTTTGCAATGAAGATCTGCCCCTTGATTAGCGAAGATGCAAGCTATTGCGTGTGAAGCGATGAAATCTTCTTACTCAATTTTCTCTTTACGATTTTTCAATGAAAGATAATGCTCAGTACTTATGTATTTGTGTAAGTGCTTCGCCCTCATTTGGGGTCAAATGATTTGGTCCAGTTTTATTTAATTTTCCTCGAATGAATAGAATTCTTTATTCATTGTGCGAATGCTTTCCGGGCAGTGAGAAGTAAATGGAGAGAAACATTAAGGATTTCAGTGTTTGGTGTTGTAATTTCTACATAAATACTTAAATATTTGCTCTCAACAAATTCATAATGATGCACTGATGTATAATAGATATATGTTTAAATTTGATAAGTACGCGTATTCATGCCGGATCAAGCTCATACCGCTTGGTATCTGCGTATATTTAAAATTATTCATTCTAAGTATACCATATACATATACTCGTATACATATGTAGATAACCATGAACATACCTCAGGATACACACTTAATTGGACAGCCGATAAAATTCATCCGATGTTTCTTTATCTTTCCGTGCAGGCAGCCTTCCTTTTATGCTTATCTTGTGGTCTGACACTAGTCTCCTCGTATGAGTTGTCTCTGCTTCTTTGCTCCTTCGTATGTTTTACTCGTGCTGAAACGTCTATTGTATTTCACCACTGTTTTTTAAGCGACTGAATTAAAGCATGCTGTAATAAATCCTTTAAGTCGACGTGATTACCGGTAATGAAATACTCTTGAAAGAAAAGCAAATAGCAATTTCTTGTTATTGTAAAGCTTTTCCGGAGAACAGTACTTTAACATGAGAAAACATAATAAAGGTTCATGAACTGATTGATTTGGGATGTAGTCACTTTATGAAAATTACGTAGAAATTGAGTCTTTGAATAACTAAAACCCAAAGTTACATAGTAATCCTAGTCAAGTGGTGTTTCTATTAATAACAGCAAATATTGCCTACAATTAGGCGCAATATTAAATATATTCAGCTAAGTCACCTACCCAAAGAATGGCATTACATATTTGAAAGAATACAAGCAAAACATAGAGAACTAGAAGAGCCTTATTTCTTTTTAGTTTCGGCTCCACTAAAATGAGATTTTTGCGTCGAAATATATTTTCAATATATATGGTATCTGTCTACATTTGTATTATTATAGAAGTTTTGCTGTGCATTGACACCTTATTAGCAAACAAAATTATTCAACTCATGAATATGCTGCTAAATTGCTATAACGGATACGCAATTTCCCGATAAAAGTAAAGAAGAAATTGTGATAATATGTCCTAGCTGCTTTGATGAGAATATGTTACCATGTGGCATTGTCTATGTTTCTCCAGCGAAGCGCAGACGAGCCCAAAAGGACACTCATCGATTGTGCAAAGCGACGCGCCACCTCTACTAGACAACGAGCGACCTTTGGTATGCTCCGAATCCTTCAATTCGACGCCACTGTGTGATTTTGCCGCAAACTTCAATGCTAGCAATGGCAACGCAACGACTACGATAGGGCCCTGACTGGGCTGGTCGGTTGCCTGCTTGGCTGGCGCTACCTTGTCTGGTCGCTATTGTCTGGTTAGCGGTGTTGTTGGCGCGTGCGAAATGCGGACTGGGCAACTTGCCATCTTGGCGTCGATAGACAGAGCGAGTACCAAAATATATACAATATGTGTATTGGGAGTTAAATATTCCAAAGAAAAGACCGCCTATATACTCGAACATCTATTAATGAGTGTGTGTGTACGACTGCCGAATTTACACTTTTGTTTTGTCACAATGTGCTCATATGCGCGCTTGGTACAAATTTATTTTATTTCGCAGAAATAAAATCAGTGTGCACACACATACAAAGACACTCTTCACCGCACATATACATCTGGTGTAAAAAAGAGTCAAAGCAAAAATACATCAGCAAAGAACTTCACCTTGAGCGAAATTCGAACGGTATTTGTTTGCTTTTGTTGCATTTGGTAAGCGTTTGCCTTTCGTCTGCAATAATTTGTGCGCGCTTACCCGAAAGCTAAATAAATGTGGCGTCAGGAATGCTTTAAAATGTGGCAGGCTTTTAGGCGCACAACGATTTATGAGTTTCACTTTAAACGACTTGTTCGGCGGAAAGGCGGTTACAAGTGTAAATAAAACAATGAAATTAATATTTTATGGCTCGCCAAAATGCAACACATATTTCTCCTTGCCACTTCCACAACAACTACACTAACTTTTAATATACTTGCCACAATGTTGCTCGAAGCGTTTGCTGCATTTCTAAGGGCGTTTGCGCACAACGGACCGTCTTCTTGTCGACCGCATTTCCTGTGCTTCAGTGAAACAGTTTGCATTTTGCATATGCTTATACTCTGCCATTTATTATTATTTCAACGTGGTTTCTAAACGCCGCCCTCCCTGTCCTGTCTGCCTGCCCACAAAACGACTGCGCATACTTAGACGTTCACTTGTTCTTAGTTTTAATCTCCAACCTATTTACACTTCTAACACTCATTTACGTACGTTGCCAACTCATTTCCGTAATAGTTTGCCTGCAGTATTTCCTGGTTTCCCCTCACTACTACACTCTGCTCGACCTGTGGTTGTGTGTGTGTGTGATACGAGTTTCCTTTTTTAAATATACAGTGCCAGTGGTTATGTGTCCTCTACGGAACACTTTCAACTATTTACCGTTATGTGGTGACATCTCTTGCTTCCTCGTGGACAATTCATGATATATAGAACTTTTTAGGAAGAGGAAATATAATTTAACTTGTGCTGTTGGTACGAATGGTGTAAATGGCATTTTTTCAACAAAAGAGTAATATAATTTCCGATACTATTAAAGTGAGATCAAATCTAAATCGATCTCATACTATTTAGGATTATTCGACACATTAGTAAAATGTTTAAATCTGCCATGTATTTAAAGATTTTAGGGGAATACACAAAAATATAATCACGCTTATTGCTTAAAATAAAATAAAATTTAAAATTTGTATAAAATAAAGTCGATACCATAAATCACTTATGCAAATGTGATTATCAAACTATGCAGATTTAAGGTTTCTGTCGATCAGGAGTAACTTCATTTCGCGTCTAATTGTTAGAATATTCCTTTAATTCACTAAAGAGTAATTATGGGACTTGCGGTTTATATATTTTTTCCCATAATTTGTTGACATATTATTAAAACTTCTTTTTATATATTTTAAGCTTAAGCAGATAAAAGCCAATTTTATTAAATAAAATTGTAATTATTTTTTAATACAATGCAAACAAATGAAACTGCCTATATATACGCATGTACATACATATGTACATCTACACACACGAAATAGTTTTACAATAAATATGAAAATAGTTCTATCTCAATTGAAAACACGCATAATCTCACATGCATATTGTATGAGTCGACGCTTAATGTAGCCTACATTGCGGCGCATTTGTATATTTAATTAAAAACAGCTTCCCGCACGAAAGTCCTCTGATAATACACAACAGTAACCGATATTGCGATACCACATTTGCGTGTAATTTTGAATTTAAAATATATAAAAACATACCTCCACTGTGTTGGTTTGTTAGAATGGAAATACAGGCGCTATTTGTTGCACGCGTATGTATAACTGCGCCATGCCGGCATAAGTGAACAGAGCTTGGCGCCGCAAAGTATACATGCATTGCTGTGCTTATTGGCAATGCGCTGGCATAGAAGTACATTTTGTGGTCATAACGTGTTCTGGTGGAAATTTGTATTCCCTGCAAGTTAACAATATGTGGGAAGACTAATTTTCTTTAAAATAAAATTGGAAAACAACATGTTAGAGCATTATTACAAAAAAATTTTTAATTGTATTGTTATTTAAAATGAATTGTTGGCAACTCTTTTTTGTAATATTGGGTCTATTGGGAAGAGTATGCCTCCGTTTTTGTTTTCCAAATTTGAACGTTTATTTACGAAAAAGATTTGTACTAGGTATTGCCTATCTGAAGTTATCAAAATTAAGAACAGTGTCGGCTTGACGGCTATGAATGAATCAAGCCAGTTTTTGACACCCAAATTCGTCTGCTTTAAAGTGTGGAAATGACTGCTTGAGTCACTTTCAAAAATGCTGCGAGCTCTTTCTGTGTTTGGCACAAGCTTGCAGCAAAATACGAAGATTGAAGTTTTCTTCATATTAAAGCAACGAAGAAGTATCATGGCTCATAAAAATTGTAAGCTGCTTTTGAGCTTGGGAGGTTTGAACCAATCAGTTTATCAGGTATTTATACCAAAATTACAGGGAAAAGTTTTACAACTACAAAAACTACAATAGAAGTAAACAAAGAAACCAATTGAGACAAAAATTCGGTGGCAATTTTCCGAGCATTAACATGCCCAGCAATTCTCTCGGCAGTTAACTTTTATGATTCTATTTATCTATTCATTCGCAAGCGTGGCTCAAGCCGAACCTTCCATTATATCTATGCGGCTCTGCGAGTTCATAAATTTTTAATGATGAATGCGTTATTTTTAGATTCCAATGCGACTCTGCGTGTAGCAAGTGTTATTCATAATGCGGAGCGCTGTGTTAATAAAAGTTGTGCATATTTATTTATGTAAACAAAATC